CCTAGCACTCACTCTGGAGACTAGGCTGGCCTCAAACTCACAGAGATCTGCCTGCCTCTGCCTCCCAAGTGCTGGGATTAAAGGCATGCGCCACCAACGCCCGGCTGACAGAGGGGATTCTTAACACCAAGAGGAACGCTCATCGCCACTGTCAGTGCTACCCATATACAGAAACTCCTGGAGGCAGTGCTGCTACCTGCCACAGACTCAATAGTACACTTCATGGGACACCAAAAGGATAGACAATATATCTCCCTGGCTAATAACATGTTGGATAAACTGGCCAGGGAAGCTGTTCTCACACACATGGATATCAAGAGGAAAAAAGGACCAGGAACCCAACCCCCATACCCTGTAATAGTAATACATGCTTATGCTCCCTATTCCACTTAGCTAATCAGACTCTTCCTCACACAGTCTTTCCAGTCCAGCAGGAGGATAAGGCTTTTCTCCAGCAGTTCTCCCAGACCTGAAACATCTGCTTGTGTACTGACCCTCAGTCTAACCTCACACCACCATCCTTTCTCACTCACCAGATGAGAAAGCACCTATCTGCCACACACTGGCAAACTGACTTCACACAATGCTCCGGGTAAAGGGACACAAATATCACTTGGTTCTAACAGATACTTCCTCGGGATTTTCCTATTTCTACCAAGAGACTCTACTATCTCCCAGCTCCTTCTCTCTGAAATTCTCTGATTGGCCTCTCAACCTCCACCCAGTCAGGCAACAGCCCAGAATTCACTGCAGTGATCACCCCACACCCCCACCTCATTCTTCTTCTTTTTTTTTAAACATACCCTGGAAGTTCCACACTCCTTAGCACCCACAGTGTTCTGGAGGGGTGAATCATCTAGCTGAACTCTTAGGGAAATTCTGATCAAACTCTCCCTAGAACTGTACTTAGACTGGGAAAAGCTTCCTCTACCCTCTGTGAGAATCTGCTCCCATCCCTCAAAAAAAAAAAAAAAAAACCTACACACCTCAGCCTCACACACTTATTCTCCTGATCCCCATAGCTGACAGACTAGAGAGTGTCCCACCCTGGATGCACCTACCTCATCTTTAAAACCCTTCCCCCCTCATACAGAACAGCCCCCAGCTAGAAAATTGTATGCAAAACTCACTCAGCTCCCTTTCATCCCAGAACAGCCAGTAATGTTGGAGACTGGCTCCAAGGATTACTCCCCTCCATCCTTCCTGAAGGACTACCAGAATGATGTCCAGTTGAAGCAGGGACCTGCCACTGACTGGGGTTTCCCTCAGAGATGTCATTGAGGAGTTGTGGCTCCAGTACACTTCTGACCAAATCCAGTCTTTCTCTATCCTCGCCCCCATACACACACACACACCAGTGATGTTCTGCAAACCCTGGATTTAACTGTTCTATTGCTTTTCTTCTGTTAATGGGCTTGTTGTCTATGACCCCACACACACACCAGTAAGGTTGGGGAGAAAAGCTTCTCCTGGCCCTCTTTTACCTGATTATTGTTACATTAGAGGTTATCTGGTCTCATCCTGTCTTCAGAACATCCTTTCAATTATAAAATATTTTCTCCTTTACTCAGTCCTACCTCTGACCCTACCCAACTGGCATGAAACAAACAAACAAAAATGTCTCAAATCAGTTTTTTAAAGACAGAGTCTCTTACATAACACTGGCTATCTTGGAATTCACTATGTAGACCAGGCTGGCCTTGAACTCAGAGATCAGCTTGCCTCTGCCTCTAGTTCTCAATAAGACTAGCTGGGCAGTGGTGGCTCACCTTTAATCCCAGCACTTAGGAGGCAGAAGCAGGAGGATCTCTGAATTTGAGACCAGCATGGTCTAAACAGTGAGTCCCAGGACAGTTAAGGCTAAACAGAAAAAAATAACAACCTACACACAGGAAGGCCAGTTTAGTATCTTTCAGATAGGGCTATAATTTCTTGGCAACTACACAGAACCTCATTGTACTTGTCTCTGAATTCTGTCAGGACTCCTATAGAAACAAGTAACAATGTAGCTAGAGATGATGTGGTCTCAGTGCCAGTTACTGGCATTTGTAAAGACCTGCCCCATTTCTTTCTGCAGGACTGATCTTGTGCTATTTTTTCCTCCCCAGGTTCCTGGTGGTCCACCCCTACCTCTACTGACTACACCAAATTCAGTAGCCAGACTCCCCTGGATATCTAACAGAACACAGACCAGAAAAAAGCAAGGATGAATAGTAGAGTTTAAAGGCCTTACAAACGGGGGAAACAAAAGTTTGGCCTTAGATGGTTAGCTAATGGCAAGGACCTCCCTCCCTCCAAAGGCCACCCTCTGCCTGGAGGTAAAAGCTGTAGACATCTCTGTCCCTATCCATACCTTGGATCCATCAGAGTCTTGATCCCTCTCTCCAATGATAAAATTCCTTCTTAGAAAAAGCAGACCAACCAAACTCTAACCCACACCTTACATTCCAATGCTCCCCTTCTTCAAATGCTTGTCCTCTGGAACAGAAGCCACAAAATGCTAAAATTCAGCCTCACCTAGGGAAAAAAAACTGTTGGATCTGCCTGAGAGCAAGACAAGTAACACACTTGGGGCCAGCCTTAACTAAAATCCCTTTAACTAAGGATTCCATAACCATGCCAGGTCCTTAAGCCTGGCCTATACAAATTGTGGTTACAGCCATTGTGTGAGTGCCCCCATCCCAACTGCATCAGGGTAATTTTTATTTATTTATTTATTTATTTATTTATTTATTTATTTATTTATTTTTCCAAGATAGGGTCTCCCTGTGACTTTTGGAGGCTGTCCTGGAACTAGCTCTTGTAGACCAGGCTAGTCTCGAACTCACAGTGATCCGCCTGCCTCTGCCTCCCGAGTGCTGGGATTAAAGGCGTGGGCCACCACCGCCCGGCGCATCAGGCTAATTTTTAAGTCTAAAGTCCCTAATGGCACCTATTGTGAATGTCCCAGTGGCCTTTTTTCTTGCTACCCTATCAATTACCTTATGTGCCAAGTTGCATATTTAATTTCAGGTCTTTTGTGGGGGGCAGTGTTTCGAGGTAGGGTTTCTCTGTGGCTTTGGAGGCTGTCCTGGAACTAGCTCTTGTAGACCAGGCTGGTCTTGAAATAACAGAGATCAGCCTGCCTCTGCCTCCTGGGATTAAAGGCAAGTTCCACCAACTGCCTGGCTTAATTTCAGGTCTTATAATCATTCATCCCTGGGCCTAAAATAAGCCATCAGCCCACCCTATCTGAACCTAAAGGGATGACATATTACTTCCATTTCTGTTGGAAGTACTGAGGTCACTGGACTCCAACAAGTACAACACAGACAATTTGCTCAACAAATCAAGGTTGATCTGACACTAGTACAGGATAGCACTGAAAAAACTCCAGACTCAGTTGTATTCCCTGGCAGCCATGGGATTACAAAATAGATGGGGATTAAATCTCATTACCACAGAGAAGGGAGGGATCTTTGCTTTATTAGGGGAGAAATGTTGCCTCACGAATTATTAGGTGTCTAAGAACTCCAGACAGCTCAAAAAACAAAAACAAAAACAAAAACCCAACAACAACAAAAACCCAAAACAAAGCAAAACAAAAAAACCAAAACTACAACAACAAAAACAAAGAATAGACTCACAAACTAGAGACTCCCCATTAGACTTGTGGAACACGAATAGCACTTTTTATTGGGCCCCTTCTCATGGCAGTTCTAATCTCCAATCCTCGCGTTTTGAAATTCCTCTGTAGTTTGTTGCAGCAAAGAGTACAAGCCATTACTTCGTTAACTACCACTTAGCTCTTCCTGAGGACTACCAACAGGCTACTCATAGTCTTAGAAACAGATGAGCTCGAAGATCCTTGAGTAGCTACTTGCTTCTTCAACAAGGTTTTATCGTTTTGTTTTGATTTTTTTGGGGGGGTGGGGTGGGGCGTGTTTGGAGACAGGGTCTCTCTGTGTAGCCCTGGCTGTCATGGACCTCACTCTGTAGACCAGGCTGGCCTGGGACTCAGAGATCTGCCTGCCTCTGCATCCCCAGTACTGGAATTAAAGGCGTGCATCACTACTGCCCAGCTATCAAGGAGCTCTTAAGACAAAGGTCTATACTTGTTGACCAAATAAAATAGTTTTTTTTTTGACCAAATAGTTTTTAACTTGCAATTTATTTTGCAAAGAAAGCAAATAAAACGATTTATAATTACCAGTCATCGTATTTTACTACTCTCTTTTATCTAATTTTTAACTTTCATGGAGATCCGCACCGGGAAGATGCTTTTGAGCGCTCCATATAGTAATTCATCGGGGCTTCCTAACCTTCGAACTACAAGTCCCAGCGAACAATGCGCTACTTTCTAAACTAAGGGCGGGAAAATGCTAAAATGTAATTTTTAGCGGGTTTCCATTTTTCGCAGAAACTCAAATGTTCCTTAAACAAGCTTGAACACAGAACCAGGCGAGTAACATCACTCCTCCTGGAGACAGACCAAATCCGGCCTGAGGTGGGTGTCTAACTGCAGCCGAATTTCCCGCTACCTCTCAATTCTCCCAGCAGTCTCCTTCCCTACA